ATAAAAAGGAAAAAAGATCAATACACATAGCCCAATAGAAAACAGGGAATGACTTGAATATTTTACAAAAGGAGAAAGTCAAATGGCCTATAAATCTAAGAAAAGACAATCTCATTAGTAAACAAGGAAAGGAAGATAAAAATATCAATATATGATTATACACCAATTATATTGACAAATGTGTGATAACACTGTTTGTTAGAAGGTGGAACAATAGGTGCTGTCAAACATGGCATGTTGAAGTGTCATAGTAAAACTTTTTTTTAAAAATATTTTTATTTTTTTTTAGTTTTCGGCGGACACAACATCTTTGTATGTGGTGCTGAGGATTGAACCCGGGCCGCACGCATGCCAGGCAAGCGCACTACCGCTTGAGCCACATCCCCAGCCCAATAAAACTTTTTTTTTAAAAAAGTTCCTCATTACCTGGAGAAGCTGAACATAAAACCCAGAAATTGCACTCCTAGGTGCACATTTACACTAGGATACATATACAAGAATGTATTATGGTTTAATTTATAGCTTGCTTTGTAAGATTATGTAGCAATGAAAATAAATGAACTACAGGACATTAATGTGGATGACTATCAGATATATAATACTTAGCTAAAGGAATGTATATGGTTCAAAAACTGCTAAAACTAATATTTAAATATGCATAGGTGACTAAAGCTATTTTTTTAAAGGTAAGGTTATGATTTCCAACAGTCCAAAGAGTTGGTAACCTCCAAATATGAAGGATGTTGATGTAATCTATAAGGAGTACACAGGGGCTTTCAAGGGTTTGGCAGTGTTCTATCAATTCTTGTGGTTAACTTTAATGTTTAAAAATAATTTTAATATATTTCTTATACACTCTTCTATATGAATGATTTACAGTAGAACATTTTGGAAACACATCTTTTTAAAAATATTTTATTTTATTTATTCATATGTGGTGCTGAGGATCAAATCCAGGGCTTCACACATGGTAGGCAAGCGCTCTACCTCTGAGCCATAACCACAGCCCTTGGAAACACATTTTATGAGCTCTAATGTAAGACAGCAGTGGAATATCATTGATTATTACAGTGTTAATTATATTTACAATGAATGAGTCCATGTGCTGGAAACAGAAGGTGCTAAGATATTTGAGGAAGGAAGAGTGAAATATGAGCTCAGAACCTATTGTGGAGCTTATGATCAAGTTAGGGGTTTAAGACATAGCCATTGGAAGATAATATGGTGTTATAATACCTATTTGAAAATTATAGGCAATAAATTCTTTAAAAAATTCTTTTTTTGATTAATGAACATTTATTGTGCATTGATAGAACATGTTAGATCCCAAGAGAGATGTAAAGACATGCACATCATAGTCTCTGCCCTCAGACTACTCCTAATATAGTTGGGGAAGCAAAACAGAGATGTGAGAAGCTAAATAAACAAATGTTACATAACTAGGATGATGCCTTGAGTGTCAATGTTGATGTGTAAGGAAAATAATTTGGAATATCTACTGACAGTTCCCTTTCTTATAAATGTTTTTAGAAATTTGAAGTAGAAACATATTTGCTTTTCTGTTGGAGAGAATGTTAATAATAGCTCTTGCAAATTACAAAAGACTCCCAGGCATAAATAAACCTAATTTGTGGGGAGCAAAAAAATCAATTATTTAGACCCTGTAAACACTGTTTCCTAACTTTTTACACTGTACTCAGGGAAAAATGGTAATAATGTAGATGCAAGGATTCTAGAATTTTCACTGAATTCTAGTATTGAGAATGACAGAATAGCTGATTTGGTAATTAACTTTTCCACCACAAACGACTATAAAATCTGTGCAAATAAATAATATACATTCTTTCCAAGTGAATATATAACATTAGCCAAAATGAACCATAGAGTACAACAAAGCAATTTTCAATGAATTTCAAAGAACTGAAGTTATGTAGTATATATTTTTTGATCTCTTAGAATTATATTAAGGCTCAATGATAGAAAAATAACTAAATAGCACTAAAAGTTTACAAATTAAATTGCACAGTTCATCTGGGTAATCCATTAATTCAAGAAAATGTTGCACTGGAAATTAGAAAATATTTAGTTTTTTAAATTTTATTTTATAGTATAATCCATTTTGACACATAGTACACAAATGGAGCACAACTTCTTATTGCTCTGGCTGTACATGGTTCAGAGTTACTCCACTAATGTAATCATACATGTATAAGGATAATAATGTCTGTCTCTTTCTACCATCCTTCCCATCCCCACAACCCCACCCCTCCCTTCACTCCCCTTTATACAAACCAAAGTTCCTTCATTCTTCCCCTGTCTTCCTCCCCCACTATGGATCAACATCTGCCTACCAGAGAAAACACTGGGCTTTTGGGTTTTTGGGATCGGCTTATTTCACTTAGTATGATATTCTCTAGTTCCATCCATTTACCTGAATTGCTATAAAAATTCTTTAAAGAGATTGTGAATTATATGATTAAGAGATGCTTAGCAGAGGAATTGGTAATTGAAAAAGTACTTGACTATTATAATAAATAAGCATTATATCACATTGGTATTGGATTCAATAAGTGAAACATTTGTAAGATTGTTTTAAGTACTTGTTCATGGTCTGAAATAAAGTCCCATACAAATAATTTGATGTAAATATATTCTGACCTTTAGAATGCTAAAGCATATACATAAATATATGCTTGAATTCTCAGAGTTCTAACCTTCTGATTCATTGTGGAGTTTGTTTGTTTTGGGGCTTTTTCCGTTGTTACTCAGTATTAAGCCCAGGGGCACTTAAGCACTGAGCCAAATCCCCAGCCCCCCCTTTTTAATATATATTTTATTTAGTTACAGAGTTTTGTTGAGTTGCTTAGGTCCTCATTAAGTTGCTGAGACTAGCTTTGAACTCAAAATCCTTCTATCCTGCCTCAGCCTCCCCAGCTGCTGATTTTACAGGCATGCACCACCACACTCGGCTCATTATGGTGTTTCTAAGAAGCCAGAGATCTGACTCATTGTTTTGTGCCTTAATATCATCTGGGAATGTAGGCTAAAGAGGATGGTAACTTCTTTTATTATAAAATATTTGGGAGTTGTCTGTGTGGAAATTGGCAAGCAGTAATGACAAGACTTCCTTCAGTTTATACAAGATGTTACTGCATAGAAAGTCTCGATTTGTAAATGCCAGACATGAAGGTAGACTCATACTTTAATACCAAGAGCAGATGATAGACTTGAAGAGTTAAGGCACAATAATTGTGGCAATCTTGATCCAAATACTGTTGTTTCTGTTTTAGATTACAAGGTATCTGAAAACTCCAAATTAGTTATTGTCACAGCAGGTGCAAGGCAGAAAGAAGGAGAAAGTCGCCTTGATCTGGTCCAACGTAATGTGACTATCATGAAATCAATCATTCCTTCCATAGTCCGTTATAGTCCTGATTGTAAAATGCTTATTGTTTCAAACCCAGGTGAGTACTTCTTCCTTTTTTTTTACTGATAAGGATGATTGTTCATACCATTACTTCTTTTTGAAACTTCATTGAGGTAAATTTATGTATAATAAACTGCACTCATGCAATGAAAGTATACATCACAATGACGTTGGTTTTTTATCAAAGGCGTGGCATGGTTCTGGGGAGATAGAATCCAGGACTTGGCATATGCTAGGCAAGGACTCTACCACAGAGTTACATCTCCAGCCAGTGCAGGAAATTTTGTTAGATATAATCAGTTATGCACCACTGTAATCAAGATTCAGAACATTTCTGTTATTTGAAAATTCTTTTGTGCTCCTTTGCATTTCATCTCTCATTCCATGTCTGGCCTCATTTCCTGGAATTTTATATACCTAGAATCATAGTGACTTAATCTTTCTCCTTCCACCCAACATGACTATTTTGGGATTCATTCATGTTGTTGGGTATACCAGTGATTTGTTCCTTTTTGTTGCTGACAAGTATTCTTTTGTTTATACATTTTAAATACTCATTTCACCTGTTGATAGATACTTAGTTTGCAGCTATTATGAATAAAACTAATATGAACATTTGTATGTAAGTATTTACATGGTCATATGCCTTCATTTCTTTTGGGTAAATACCTGGGGCAATCATGGGTGGGTTATGGGGTTAGTTTAAGTTTAATTATTAGAAACTATCAAAGAGTTTTTCAAAATGGTTGTTCCTATTTATATTCCCACCAGTACTGTAAGAGAGTTCTAATTGCTTTGCATCCTTGCCAATATTAGGTATTGTTGGTCTTTTTAATTTTAGCCTCACCATCTTCATTTTTGAAGGAAAAGTTCTGACTCATAATGTGTATATTGGTACTCTTGCTACTGTCCCAGAAATCTCTTAAGTGCTGTTCATTTTTCTTCATTTTTAAAAGTTGAAGTGAAGGGCTGGGGTTGTGGCTCAGCGGTAGAGCTCTTGCCTAGCATGTGCGAGGCTCTGGGTTTGATCCTCAGCACTACTAAAAATAAATGAATAAAAAATAAAGGTATTGTGTCTGACTACAATTTGAAAATATATATATTTTAAAAAACTGAAGTGAAATCCACATAACATGCAATTAATTAAAGTGTACAATTTAATGGCATATAGTATGTTCACAATATTGTGCAATTTTGGTTCTTTGTTCTTTTTCCTTTCTGTTCTTCAGACTGTAATATTTCAGTTTACCCATCTTTGAGTCACTGATTCTTTCTTTTGATTTTTCATTCTGCTGTTGAGCTGTTCCTGTGAATTTTCATTTGTTCCTTTTCCTTTTCATAATTTCTACTTATTGATATTCTCTATTTGGTGAGAAAATGTTCTCATGTTTCCTTGGATTTTTTCCTTTAGATCTTTAAACATGCATTCCTTTAGCCCTTTAAGCATATTTTAAATAGTCATTTAAAGTATTTGCCTAGTAAATCTTTGTCAGGATTTCCTCTGGGATAGTTTCTATAGGTTACTCATTTCCCCTGTGTTTCTTTGTGTGCCTCACAATTTTTTTGTTGGGGGTGCCAGGGTTGAACTTAAGGGCACTCGACCACTGAGCCACATCCCAGCCCTATTTTGTATTTTATTTAGAGATAGGGTCTCACTGAGTTGCTTACTCTTCCCAGCTAGATATACTGATTATTAGATGTGCAGACAGACATATTTGGTATCTCAAAAGAGGATTTTTGCATTTTAAAATTCTTGTAGAAAACAATTTAACATTTTAAAAACTATATCTTTTCTTGTTAATTTTCTTCACATTAAACTCTAATGACTCTGTATTTGACTCCAAGATAATGTATCTCTCTATTCAGAAAAGCAAATTGTAAAAAGAAGTTACTAGGGGCTGGGGTTGTGGCTCAGTGGTAGAGTGCTTGCCTCGCACGTGAGAGACCCTGGGTTCAATTCTCAGCATCACATAAAAATAAATAAACAAAATAAAGATATTGTGTCAATGTATAACTAAAAAAAAATCTTTAAAAAAAGAAGTTACTATGACTCTTTCTCTAACATGAATTGTTCTCCCCAGTGGATATTTTGACATATGTGGTCTGGAAGATAAGTGGTTTACCTGCAAGTCGTGTAATTGGAAGTGGATGCAATCTAGACTCTGCCCGTTTCCGTTACCTCATTGGAGAAAAATTGGGTGTCCATCCCACTAGCTGCCATGGTTGGATTATTGGAGAACATGGTGATTCTAGTGGTAGGTATAAATCTATTGTTATTCTATGACTATCTTTGTTATCTTTAATAATGCTTATTTTCTTCAAAATCTATTTTTTCTGATGTTTATATAGCTGCATAACCTTTATTTTATTGCTATTTTCCTGGTGTATCTTTTTCTATTTCTTTATTTTACTTTTTTTAAAAAAAGTTTAGTTGAAATAACAATTATACATATTTAGAGGGTACAATGTGATGAATTGATAAGTATTAATTATGTAATGATCAAATCAGGATAATTAGCATTATATATCACCTATAAATTTGTTATTTCTTTGTGATGATAGCATTCCAAAACTTTTTTTTTTGGCTATTGGAATTGACAGTACATTATTGTTAACTATAGTTGCCTCAATGTGCAATAGAGCACTAGTGCTTAATCCTATCATAACTTTGTACCCATGAACCTCCTTTTCCTTTTCTCCTTTCCAGTCTCTGGTGATAACTGTTGTATTCTTCTCTGCTGTTAACATTTTTAGATTCCACATTTAAGTGAAATAATACTGCTTTTGTCTTCCTGTGTCTAGCTGATTTTGCTTATTGTTATGTCCTCTAGTTCTATCCATGTTTTTTGAAAATGAAAGAATCTTATCTTTTTTTAAAAAAACATTTTTTTAGTTGTTGATGGACTTTTATTTATTTATATGTGGTGCTGAGAATTGAACCCAGTACCTCACACATGCCAGGTAAGCATGGATTACTAGCTATGACCCCAGCCTAGAATCTCATCATTTTTTGGGAGTGAATACTATTCTAGTGTGTGTATCCATGTGTATCTTCCATTTTTAAAAAATCTATTCATCAATTCTTGGATATTTGCAAATCTTGGCTACTGTAAATAGTACTGCAATAAACATAAGTTTATTGTTGTGTCCCTGTGTCAATATCCGTATAGTCAAGCTATTTCTTGAGTATGCTTGTGATTCATTTCTTTTGGATATACTATAGGCCCAGTAGTGGGATTGCTGGACTGTATGCAGCAATTATAATTATAATTTTAATTTTTTGAGGCACCTCCAGGTAGTTTTCCATAATGGATGTACTAATTTATATTTCATTACCTTGATTTCCTTCTTTATGTTTTCTTTAACATTTTGAAGTTATGGTTATCATTGTTCATTTTTTTAAAAGAGAGAGAGAGAGGTGGAGAGAGAGAGAATTTTAATATTTATTTTTTAGTTATTGGCGGACACAACATCTTTGTTTGTATGTGACGCTGAGGATCGAACCCGGGCCGCACGCATGCCAGGCGAGCGCGCTACTGCTTGAGCCACGTCCCTAGCCCATCATTGTTCATTTTGATTTTTAATCTTCCTAGTTAGAGATTTGAAAGTTTGTGTATCACCATTACAGTAACAGCATATTCTGAATCTGATCATGAATTTTACCTCTACAAGTGAGTTTTATATTTTCATGATAGTAATTATTATTCCTTTTTCTTCTAGTAGAAGCAAGTCCTTCAGCATTTCTTGTAAGACTAGTCTAGAGGTGATGAGTTCCCTCATCTGTTGCTTATTATGGGAAAGCCTTTTTATCTTTTTTATTTCTGAAGAAGAGCTTTGATAGATAAAATGTTCTTGGCTTACAGTTTTTCTCTTTTAGCCTTCTGAATATATTATTCCATTCTCTATTGACCTGAAAATTTTCTTCTAAGAAATCTGCTATTAGCTTAGTGGGGAATTACATATAATTTAATAATTTCCTCTTGCAGTTTTTAAAATTCTCTCTCTGGGCCTGGGGTTGTGGCTCAGTGGTAGAGTACTTGTCTAGCACATGCGAAACAAAGGGTTTGATCCTCAGCACCACATAAAAATAAACAAAATAAAGGTATTGTGCCAAAGTATAAATAAATAAAAAAAATTCTATCTTTCTCTCTCTTTTAATGATATTTATCTTCTGGTTGAACTTTCTTTCAGATCATAAATTATTTTCCTCATTTCATTGAATTGCCTGTTTCCTCTTACTGATTTTCCCTTAGGATCATTATTCTGAATTTCTTTCCAAGTAATTAGTGAATTTTCCTTTCTCTGGGGTTAGTTACTGAGAGTTATTGTGATTCTTTGCAGTGTCATGTTTCCTTGTGTTTTTTCATGCTTATTGTGTCCCTGCACTGTTATCTATACATCTGGTAGAGTGACTTTTCTTGGGAAGTATTTTTACCTTTCCTAATATGTCCCAGGGATTGCTAATATGTCAGTTGGGTAGGGTGTGTTGTGTTTGATTCTAGGTAGGCACAGCAGTATAGTTTCTGAACAGTTTCTTCAGTTCTAATCAATATCATTGATGCCTATGAGTGCCTTGGTGGCCAAGGCAGCAGGAGTCTGTGCAGCTATTCTTCTAAGTTGAGTGTGGCCTCCCCACTAGGGATGGGGGCAGGGGCACTAAACAGCTGTGTACACAAGGGCTGTTCAAGAATTACCTCCATTTGAGGGGCTGGGTTGGAGGCTAACTGGTCTCTACCAGGTGGCCTGTGGCTTAGTCTGCACTGGGAATGAGATCACTACAAGATCAAGGGTATGAGGGGCTGTCTGGGCTCAGGGAGCATGGCTATTTTGCTGGGCCTAGGTTCTATA